AGTGATTCTAAATATATCTCTTCAATTTCCATTACAGTTACCCCACTATAGGTTATTTTTGTTTTTGTTTTTGAAACAGGTCTCACAAAGTTAACCCAGGCTGGCCTTGAACTCGCAATCCTCCTGCCTCAGACTCCTAGGTGCAGGGATTACAGATTTGCACCATTATGCCTGTCCAGGTCATCATCACCATCACCATCATCACTTCTTGACTATTTATTATAGTAGCCCAATTTATTTCTTTGCCTCCAATATTTTCTTAATCTATTCCAAACCCCACAAACTATCCAGGCACTGGTGGCTCATGCCTGTAATCCTAGCTACTCAAAAGGCTGAGATCTGAGGATTGCAGTTCAAAGCCAGCCTGGGCAGAAAAAAACACTCTTATCTCCAATTAACTACCAGAAAACTGGAAGTAGTGCTTGCCTTGAGCTGAAGAGCTCAAGGACTGTGCCTAGGCCCAGAGTTAAAGCCCACTACCAACCAAAAAAAAAAAAAGAGTACTGAAACTAATGGTAGCTCATGCCGGTAACCCTAGCTACTCAGAGGCTAAGATCTGAGGATCGTGGTTTGAAGCCAGCCCAGGCAGAAAAGTGCTCATGAGACTCTTTGAGGGGGGAGGGGGAGGAGTTGTGGGGCCTGAACTCTGGGCCTGGGCACTGTCCCTTAGCTATTCAGCTCAAGGCTAGCACTCTATCACTGAGCCACCTTCCGAGCCCATCAGGAGACTCTTATCTTCAATTATTAACCACTCTAAAACTGGAAGTGGTGCTGTGGCTCAAGTGGTAGAATGCTAGCCTTGAGCAAAAAGAGGCTAAGGACAGCACCCAGGCCCACAATCGGAAAACAAACAAACAAACAGCAAAAATCTAAAATCAGAGCAAAAAGCAGGTCATTCTAGTGTTGAAGTATTACCAACCACCTGCATGAGTTCAAAGGTCTTTCACAGCCCTCAAAATGCTGACCCACTTCTCCAGCCTTTATAGATATATAAACATTTAGTAAACATTCAGATTTATCCATTCAGCAGGGCTCATGGGTCAGGCATGACTAGAGTTAAAAAAGGAAGCTGATATTTCCATCAAGTGGAGAGCACAATGAAAGATGAGTAAACCTGAAGAGCAGTCAGTGTGGAAGAATGAAAACCAGGAGTCTGTGGTGCCCAGAAAGCATATGAAAAGCTTGTAGAAGAGACTGAGCAGCCATGTTGATACTGCTTGAGATCAATTAAAACAGTTTGGCTGCAAACTGACACTATGACTAGGTCATATGAAGGTCACTGATAAGCCTGACAAGATTGGTTTCAGTGAGTGGTAGGAATGAAAGCTTGGAGTTGCTTAAGAGAGAAAAAGAGATAAGGCAGGTGAAGATTTTTGCTGTAAAGAAGAGCATCAAGCTGGGTGCGGGTGGCTCACACCTGTTATCCTAGCTACTCAGGAAGCTGAGATCTGAGAATCACAGTTCAAAGCCAGCCTGGGCAGGAAACTTCATGAGACTCTGATCTCCAATTAACCACCAGGGGGGGAAAAAAAAACAGGAATGGGAAGGTGGCTCAGTGGTAGAGCTCTTGCCTTGAGTGCTAGCCTTGAGCTGAAGAGCTGAGGGACAGTGCCCAGACCCAGAGTTCAAGCCCTACAACAGACCAAAAAAGAAGAGCATGTGAGTAATTTTAGCTACTTAACAGGCTAAGGAAGAGCGAGAGAAGGGGTGACATGGTTGTGTTTTTGGTCAGTCATGGGGCTTGAACTCTGGGCTGTCCCTGAGCTCTGTCAGCTCAAGGAAAATGCTCTACCACTTTGAGCCACAGTGCCACTCCCAGTTTTCTGGTGGTTAATTGGAGTCTCATGAACTTTTCTGGTTGACTTCAAACCATGATCCTCAGATCTTAGCCTCCTGAGTAGATAGGATTACAGATGAGCCACCTGGCAAGAAATGTACTCTCTACCTGACTTATGTAACTGTAACCCCTCTGTATATCACCTTTATAATAATTTTTTTTAAAAAGAGGCTAAGGAGGATAGATAACTTGAATCCAGGAGTTTACCATTTGTATGCTGATAGGGAAGTTTCCATACACACACACACAAATGTGAGAATAAAAAGGGATAACTTCAAGTACTTGAGTGGGCAAATGCTCTACCAATAAATAGGGAAACTTGACTCATTTTAACCATAGAAAAAGGAGGCAGGAAGCTGGGCGCCAGTGGCTCACGCCTGTAACTCTAGCTACTCAGGAGGCTGAGATCTGAGGATAGTGGTTCAAAGCCAGCCCAGGTAGGAAAGTCCATGAGACTCCTATCTCCAATAAACCACTAAAAACTGGAAGTGGCTCTGTGGCTCAAGTGGTAGAGCGCTTGCCTTGAGCTGAAGAGCTCAAGAACAGTGCCCAGGCCCAGAGTTCAAGCCCCATGACCAACCAAAAAAAAAAAAAAGAAAAGAAAACAAAAAGGAGACAGGAGCTGGGCACCAGTGGCTCATGCTGTAATTATGCTAAGATCTGAGGCTCACAGTCCAAATGAGTCTGTGAGACTCTTCAACTAGCCAGTATAGCCGGAAATGGAGCTGTAGCTCAAGTAGTAGAACATTAACTTTGAGCAAAAAAAAAAACAACTAAAGGACAGTGCCTGGGCCCTGAGTTCAAACCCTAGTACACACACACACAGACACACACACACAGACACACACACACACACACGCACACGCACACGCACACGCACACATGCAGACAGAATGGGAATAGAAGCAGTAAACAGTAGAGTTTAATGATGAGGAATGAAGAATTTTTTTCCTTTTTTATTGCTTTAGTTTTCTCAGTGAAATAAATTATCAGCTGAGAGAAAGGGATAGGGAGATTTATTGGAAGTTTGAGGACAAGAGATGTGCAAGTCATGTTGAACATTTCTGGCTTATAACGTGAAACTTGCTTAGGGCTAGTGCACTGCCAACTGGAGCCACACCTCCAGTCCTGATGTGAAGCTTCTATTCTTTTTTCCTTTGATGATACTGGAGTTTGAACTCAGTGCCTTATGCTTGTTAGGCTGGCACTCTACAACCTGAGCCCTGCATTTTCATGGTTATTTTGGAGAGCAATCCAGTGAATTTACCTGTGTTGACCTTAATTTCTGGGCCCTCCAGACATCAGGCTCCCGAGTAAGCTGGAATTACAGGTGAGACACAGGCACCTGACTTGAGACTTGTATTTTTTTCACTCTCAGAAAAAGGAAGTTTGCTTTTGCTATTTCCTCATTCATTCTCCTTTTCAAAACCTGATGAACAGTATTTTAGAAAACACAGCAGAAGGCCTGGGAATGTGGCTTAGTGGTAGAGTGCTTGCCTAGCATTCATTAAGCCCTGGGTTTGATTCCTCAATCCACATACACAGAAAAAACCAGAAGTGGCACTGTGGCTCAAGTGGTAGAGAGGGTGGCCAGGAGCAAAAAGCTCAGGGACAGTGCCCAGGCCCTGAGTTCAAGCCCCAAGGCTGGCAAAAAAATGAAAGAGAAAGAGAGAGAGAGGAAGAAAGAAAGAAAGGAAAAAGAAAGAAAACAGCAGAAAAGCCACCTCATCTACAAAGCCTTCCTCTAGTTCTTCCAGCCCAAAATGAATTTCGCAACCTTTCATCTCTATGTTGTTAACTTACATATATTTAAGTCCCTTAAATATAGAAGAGGTTCTTTCTCACTGCAACTGTAAAATACTTCTCCCCATCCTCCCACATGTAAAACTCTATGTTTTTAGATCCTGCCCCAAAACTTAACTCTATGTTATAGGCTCCCAATGTCCTTATTAAGCTGCGGTATTGGAAAGAAAATTTCCCCATTCCTTTCCTGCATAGTTCCTCGAATACTTTTCCCTCAAATTTTAGCCTTTTTTTTTTTAACAGATCTTAACAGGTCACTTCAATTCACGTTAGCTGCCATACATAGCAAATAACAGAATCTTTGTTCTCAAGGGATTTATCCTTAAAAGTCAAATGTGCCTAACAGTATAAAAATAAATGGTACCAACACTCTCAGAAAGTGCCAATGGAGTAAGACCTGTAAACAACACTAGAAACTGGACAAGGGATGGGCGACGGGAGAAAGGGAGACAGGAAGAAAGTCTGAGTGCCCTTACACATGAATGGTTCTTTTTTTAAGTATTATTTTTATTCAAATCAATGGTGTGTTCCTATTTCAAAACACTGCTGGGCTGAAAGTGAGGGAAAAAATGGTGTGCAAAATGATTCCAAGTCCCACAGACTGGGGATGTGGCTTAGTGGTAGAGTACTTTGTCTAGCATGCATGAAGCTCCAGGTTCGATTCCTCAGTACCACATAAACAGAAAAAGTCGTAAGTGGTACTGTGGCTCAAATGGTAGTGTGCTAGCCCTGGATAAAAGAAGCTCAGGGACAGTGCCCAGGCCCTGAGTTCAGTTCCCAGGACCGGCAAAATAATAATATTAATAACAATTTCAGAAGTGATGCTGTGGCTCAAGTGGTAGAGGGCTAGCCTTGAACTGAAGAACCGACAAAAAAAAACAAATAAAATCTCCAATAATAACAATAATAATAATAATTCCAAGTCCCCACGGGGCCCTGTGACTTAGTCCTGTCACCTGACTTATTCCCCATCCATTACAGAACTTCCCCATCCCCATTCCTTAACCCTCCGAGCGACGAAATGGTTAAGCCAGGCTAGGTCAAAAGCCACCACCACAACAAAATAAAAGCCCCCTGGCACAAAACAGCCGGTGTGTCAGAGTCCAGTTAGCCAACGACCCAGCCACGAGGACGCCCCGCAGGTCCAGGCGGGCAGACCCCCCGAGGGCTCGAGGTCCAGCCCTCCAAGCCGTCGTTATGTAACCGGCCGCCAGCTGCCGGACCGGAAGGCCCCAGCCCGGCCGGGCCGGCCCCGCCCCTGCTGCTCCGTGCCGTGCGCAGCTCTCCGGAAGCTCCCGCCCCTTTCCCCTTTTATGGGAGCAAACAGCTTCGTGTCTCTGACGCCACAGCGTCGCGCTGGCCCTAAAACCGCGATCTAGGAGCAGCTCCCTCACTCCTTACTTCCGCTTCCTCCAAGTAAGGAGTCGCGGCCTTCCCCGTTCGGCTCAGGGCGGCGGCAGCTGGAGCGGCAGGCAATGTTTGGCCTCAGAAGAAACGCGGTAATCGGACTCAACTTCTACTGTGGGGGCGCCGGGCTGGGCGCCGGCAGCGGGGCCGCCGCCGCGCCGGGAGGGCGGCTCTTGACGGCGGAGGAGGCCAGTGCCCGGCGGGAGGCGGGGGGAGGGGAAGCCGGCGCGGGGATTGGCGGAAGCGCCGGCGCGAGCCCCTCGACCACCCTGGCGCCGGACGCCCGGAGGGTCGCGCGTCCCGCGCCCATTGGCGCCGAGGTCCCCGACGTCACCGGGACCCCAACTAAGCGGGTGTTCTTCGCGCCCACCCACCGTGCGCCGACGCCGGACGAGATGGAAGCCGCGGCCGCCGGCGCCATCATGTCGCCCGAAGAGGAGCTGGACGGCTACGAACCCGAGCCCCTGGGGAAGAGGCCGGCCGTCCTGCCCCTGCTGGAGCTGGTCGGGGAAGCCAGTAAGAGCTCGCGCACGGACGGCTCGCTCCCTTCCACGCCGCCTCCAGCGGAGGAGGAGGACGACGAGTTGTACCGGCAGTCGCTGGAGATTATCTGTCGCTACCTTAGGGAGCAAGCCACGGGCGCCAAGGACGCCAAGCCGCTGGGTGGGGCCGGCGCGGCCAGCAGGAAGGCGCTGGAGACCCTGCGGCGGGTCGGGGACGGGGTGCAGCGCAACCACGAGACGGCCTTCCAAGGTAAGGCGTCCTCAGACACCGGGGCCGCGCGCCCCCCCTCTTCCCACCCCTCTTCCCTCCGGTCTCTCCCGCCCCAAACCAGTCCCGGGGTGTGAGGAGGTCGATGCTGTTTCTAAAACCAGAACATTCTGGGCGTGAGTCATTGTTTCCGCCCATCTCAATTCTTTTGGAAATCGCAGTTGGCGTTCAAAGACCGGAAAGGGTGGGATGTCAGTGTTCCAGAGGGGTCGGCCTGAGTCGTGTTAAGAGCCCAGAGAGAGTGATTTCCCCCCCCCCCCCCCCCGCCGCCGGTGGGCAGGGGAGCGGTGCCCTGGTTCAGACAAAGGAGGCCATTGAGGACCTTTGCATGCTTTCTCTTCCTCTCAGGCATGCTTCGGAAACTGGACATCAAAAACGAAGACGACGTCAAATCTTTATCTCGAGTGATGATCCATGTTTTCAGTGACGGCGTAACAAACTGGGGTAGGATTGTGACTCTAATTTCTTTCGGTGCCTTTGTGGCCAAACACTTGAAGAGTATAAACCAAGAAAGCTGCATCGAACCATTAGCAGAAAGTATCACAGATGTTCTCGTAAGGACAAAACGGGACTGGCTAGTCAAACAAAGAGGCTGGGTAAGTTTGCCTTAAGGTTGAAGTGGGTCTTGGAGTGGAAGAGTTTTGAAGGAGAAGGTTGGGATGGCTGGAGGTTTTATGATGCTCCACCCAGTTTGCAAACTTTTTTAAACTTGGAGATCTCTTGTTGCTGGTTAACTAATGGGCTTGTGGTGTGGGAGTTAGGGGGTGGGGGAGTGAGTGGTATGTTGGTCTTGAACTGTATCAAAAGCCTTGGTTTTCTGCAGATTATTCATGTTGTAATTCAGTTGAATAATCTTCAGACCATTGCATTCAAACCAAATACCTTTCTACGGGCTTCTTCATTTTGATTGAATACGGGTTGGGGCCTGCGGCTTGAACATACTAGCTAGGTGGTTCTGGTGAAGGATGTACTCAACCACAGTGAGAAACTAACCCTATTGGATGAGGTGTTGTGTGTTGGGAATGTGAGCAAAGTTGGGAGTGTTTGTCTTTTATCTAAACATTGGGAACTGTCATAGTCCTTTTGTCTAGATTATGCTCATATGACCCAAGGTAGCACAGTAAAATTAAGTTTAACTGCTGTAGGTGCCCACTTAACTGAAGGACTCTGGAAATTTTGCTTTCTCTAAGCCCTGGAGTAAACAATTGTTACATGGTGGTTTGTGTGGGTAATGTGGGGGAAGTACTCTAGATATTCTAATCTTTTTTTTCTACTGTTAAGATAGCAGAAACCCATGCTTGAAAATGTGCTTTTTTTTTTTTTGTTTTGTTTTCTAGGATGGGTTTGTGGAGTTCTTCCATGTAGAGGACCTAGAAGGCAGCATCAGAAATGTGCTGCTGGCTTTTGCAGGTGTTGCTGGAGTAGGAGCTGGTTTGGCATATCTCATAAGATAGCCATATAAGTGCAATAGTAGACTTTTAACCAACTCCAGCCACCAAAACTACATACATCTGTGAAATCAAATGTATTTATGAACTTGGACTTCAAGCTGCCCAGGCTGTAACCTCCAAGAGTTCCATCCTAACAATGTAGCCAGAAAGAAAGTGGCAAGAGGATTATGGCTAACAAGAATAAATACGTGGGAAAACTAGTCCCCCTTGAAGAGTCACTGTCTGAAAGAAGCAAAGTTCACTTTGAGCAACAAGCAAACTTTGATTGGGAGGCCATGGAGAAAGACTTGGATTTAGTGAAGATGGTAGGGTGAAAGGACTTAACATCTTGTCTAAAACCAGAAAAGTGGCCAATAACTAGGCTTGCCAGAATTCATTAAATAGGCCCGCCAAATTCAATTACTTTCTCTTATAGTGTTAAAAGCAAAGCACTAACAATGCCAGTGACCTTTGTAAAATGGATTTAAGCTAGAAGTAATCAAACTTTGACTAGAAGCCTCAGTACTGTACAACAGTGTGTGAAGGGAAGCTTTTTGCTTTCCCAGGTTTATGTCTTGAAGACAAAGTCCAAGTGTTCAGGACTTTCATACCTGTTCTACTTTGACTTGGTTTGAATGATTCTTAGTTTATTAGCCTAGTAATGGCCAAGAATACTTGACTTGAAGTTCACTAATTAGTTACCAATGCAGAATATCCTCAATTTTTAAGACAGAACAACTTGTAAATCTATTTGTCTGTAAAAATTGTATATATTTTTACAGAGTTTATTTCTTTGAACAACATAAAAGGGACGGAAGTCTTGAATTTAGTTTTTTTCATACCCTTTTGAAATTTTCAACTTCTGTAGTTAGGAATCTATTTCTTAAATCTTTTCTAAACTTTGTCCTGGTCTGTTCTAGAATGTATACAAAACCAATTGATGTAAGTGTGTGCAACCTGGTTGATAACTGTGTGGGCTTAATTTTCCAATCTGGTTTGGTAAGTATTCTTTGCATAGATTTTTCTTTGAGAACATGATTGAGAGATTGAGGAGTTAAAATTAGCCCTTTTGCTTTGTTAAATGTAGGTTTTCAGTAATTGAGTGAAAGTGGAGTTTTATGGTTGGGGGAGGATTGGAATGGGCAAATGACTTTAAAATAATGGGCTCTGATTAGGCAACCACTCAACTGGAGTTCCTTCCATTTGACCTAATTTAACTAGGAAAACCTAAACTGAATTTATGAGCTCATCTTTAAAGCTTTTACTGAAAGATTTTCAGCTGTTCCAAGTGGGACTTAACTAGCAGTGTGTATATAAAAAGATCACATCAGGTGGATAAGAGACATTTGATCCCTGTTTACTTAATAAATTGTAAAATGACGGCTTGGAAAAAAAGCAGGTTAGAGTCTTAACCATGGTGCTATTATGTGGCTTGCTTGTTAAATACAGGTTTAAGCCTGGTATTATCAATAAAACGTACTTATTGTTTCTTTTCTATTAATGATTCCCAAGCTTTGTCTTGAATTTGTCATTGGTATCTGTTTGGATTTCAGACCTGATGTACTATTGAACTTAATCTTTAACTTCTTGGCCTTCTTGAGATATTTGCTGCTTGTTACAGATATTTATATTGTTTTTACATCTTTACTCTGCCATCCCTGAACCTCTGTAGCCCTTGTAGTTTTCTACATTATGAACCCCCCTCTGGAAACATCATACGCAACATAAACATACATACACCTCTCAGGAACGGACAGACCATCTCTCATGAATTGATAATCTTGGGAGGTGATAAGACTTCCCTTCTTCATGAGTGCTTTGACAAGCTTGGGGGTGAAAGGGAGTCTTTTCCTTGGTGTCTTTTAGTTGATTTATCCCATCTTTTGAGTAAGAAGTTTCAAAAGTCCTCTTAGGAATTTTCAGAAGGCAGAACATCATTTTGTATGCTTTCTCTAAAGTTTCCTTTGCTTGAATGTGCTCACTTAAATTTTATATAAAGATGGGCTCAGTTAAACCTCAAAGAGTAATATATAAAAGCTACTTTTAAAACTGAAGAAAGCTCTATGTTGCAACTAGGGACATTTGAAAGCTTCAGAATATGACCTTTAGTCTGTGGACTCCAGATAAAAATAGGCATGAATAAAATGACTAAGAATGTAATTGGTAAGAATTGCCCTGCCTGCCTGTCTGTCTTGGAGCTATTAAGGTCATCTTGTTAGAGCTCTTTTTACCCATGTATTTATCATTCTTGATCATAACCATTTATTTATATCATGTCTATCTCTAAGGACCTAAAGCACTTTATTTAGTTTTTAAATGGACAGAAGATCTTGTTAAGGTGACTAGAAGGCCTATGCCCCCCTCCCCCATATCCAGTTGTGGAAATGCAAATTGTACAGAAATGCAAATTGGTGTTTAGGAGCCCTACTTCCCCAACTCACTAGGTATGACTGCTGAAATATAGACAGGATCTTAGTTGATGTTTTAGGTCCAGAGCAGTGAGAGCTCTTTTTAGGAGAGCCCAGGTGGTTTGGGAAGGAAGGAGCAGATTGTTAGGGAGAAGAGGAATGTGGTCTAAGTGCTGACTAGGTGCATAGTTCAGGCACATCCTCCAGAATGGAAAGGGAGGGGCTGCTTGGAAAAATGGCTCTCTCAGCAACTTGTCTTATACTTCTCTCAGGGAAAAACATGCAGTCTTCTAGTATTGTTTGTGTACGTTCTATTTGGGGGGTAAACACCTTGGTTCTGGTTAAACAGCTAGTGTTTTTGACAGCTGTTCCAGGAAGGGTTAGGACCAACTGCAAATTAATGTGGGTTGTAAACTAGTATGTTTCCCTAACTTCCTGTTCTTCCTAAAAAAACAAATAAATCTTTTTTTTTTCAAATGTGAGGTGTGGTATGGGTCTTTTCTAATTACCCTTCATCCTTCCCTCTTTTAATAGCCTTTTAGGAATTTAGTTGAGCAAATATGGGTAGGTGAATTAAAAACAAAGTCCTACAAAGCTGCTTTACCTTAGAACAAAGGACCTTTTGTTAAAAAGTGTGTAATTAAATACTGATTCACTTTGGAGTAATTCCTGATTTTTTTTTCCTGTGCTTTTATTTATTTCAAGGCAGATACTGCTCTGTAGACTAGACTGTTTGGTCTCATGACTACCTCATCTTTCTTAGTGCTTACAGAATGTTACAGGCATGCAATCCTTGTCCTAATTTTTCTTTGAGGTAAAGACTTCATTTCTCCATCTCTCATCCTATATCTTTTGAGGTGAAAATAACCTTACAAGAGTTTTGATGAAGTTTTTGATATTGTTTGTCTCTGCACTTAACTCCCCACCCCCTTTCCACTACCAAAAAGGAAGTAAGAATGAGCAGGTCAATTTCAAAAATCTTAACCCTGTTATCTTGAAAGGAGCTGAATCACCATGGAAATGTGCAAATATGCACTTTGCATATTGATGTTTGGCCTTGAGCTGCAAACAGCTTGCAAACAAGTTTCTACCTTTCCCACTCAATTTTGCCTGTAAATATATCTCCCTTTCTAGATCCTCACCACCAGAAGGCAGCAGCTTTTATCATTACCAAGTAAGTGCAAGTGAGGTGGTAGTGGTGGTGGAGAATAACATCAATGGAAGACAGAAGGCCCCAAATCTAGCCAGTGTCTCATGCCTTTAATCTTAACCTACACAAGAAGTTGAGATCTGAGGATTATGGTTCAAAGTCAGCCTGGGCAAGGAAAGTCCGTGAGATTTACCTCCAATTAACCACTAGAAGACCAGAAATGGCACTGTGGCTCAAGTGGTAGAGCGTTCCCCTTGAGATGAACTGCTCAAGGACAGTGCCTAGGCCCAGAATTCAAGCCAGGAAACCCACAAGAAAAAATAACAACAGGGCTGGGAAGGTGGCTCAGTGGTAGAGCGCTTGCCTTGCATGCCTGAGGCCCTGGGTTCGATTCCCCAGCACCACATAAGCAGCAAAAGCCGGAAGTGGCGCTGTGGCTCAAGTGGTAGAGCACTAGCCTTGAGCTGAAGAGCTGAGGGACAGTGCCCAGGCCCAGACTTAGGCCCCATGACCGGACCCCCCCCAAAAAAGGAAAAATAAGCACCAGTCAAAAACAGCCCCAGCTCTTATCTCAACATAGGCATGAACCAGGCACAGGTGGATTGTTCCAAGTCAGCCAGGGAAGGAAAGTCCAGGACATTCATTTCCAATTTTAAAAGTGGAGCTTTTTTGGAAAGTGGAGATGTGGCTCAAGTGGTGGAGCACTAGCCTTGAGCAAAACAACTCAGGGACAGTGCCCAAGACCCACAATATTTTTTAAAAAAAAAAAAGCTGGGAAGGTGGCTCAGTGGAGTGTTTTCCTTGCATGCATGAGGCCCTGGGTTTGATTCCTCAGCACCACATAAGCAAAAAGAAAAAAGCCGGAAGTGGTGCTATGGCTCAAGTGGTAGAGTGCTAGCCTTGAGCTGAAGAGCTGAGGGACAGTGCCCAGGCCCAGAGTTCAGGCCCCACGACTGGACCCAAAAAAAAAAAGGCATGGTGACCTATTCCTGTAATATATTAAGTGGGAGGCATAGGATTGTAGTGATGGACCCCCTCCACCCCAAAAAAACTAAAGCAAAGACTGGGAGTATGGCTTATGAAGCCCTAGTACCAAAAGAAAAAAAAAGGATTAAAAAGCTGTTCTGAGGTGGTGCTGGGAAGGTGGCTCAGTAGTAGAGTGTTTGCCTTGCATGCATGAGGCCCTGGGTTTGATTTCTCAGCACCGCATAAACACAAAAAGCCAGCAATGACATTGTGGCTCAAGTGGTAGAGCACTAGCCTTGAGCTGAAGAGCTGAGGGACAGAAGTTCAAGCGCTATAACTGACCCCTCCCCCCCAAAAAAAAAGTTGTTCTGAAATCCTAGCTACCCAAGCTCAAATCTGAGCAGGTTTGTGAGACCCTCTATCTCCCAGTTAGCCAGCAAAAAGCTGAAAATGGAGGTAACTCAACTTTGAGGATCACAGTTCAAAGCCAGATCAGTTAACTACAAAAAGTTGAAAGTGGAGCTGCGGCTCAACTGGTAGAGCTCCAGCATTGAGCACAAAACCTCAGGGATAGTACCCAAGCCCAGAGTTCAAGTTGCAGGACTGGCAAAAAAAGAAAAGCCAGGGGATGTGGCTTAGTGGTAGAGTGCTCACCTAACATGCGAGAAGACCTTGGTTGGATTCCTCAATACCATATAAACAGAAAAGGCTAGAAGTGGTGCTGTGGCTCAAGTGATAAGAGTGCTAGCCTTGAGGAAAGTTCAGGGATAGTGCCCAGACCCCAAGTTCAGGTCCCAGGACTGGCAAAAAACAAAACAGAAGGGTCAAATAGTAACTAGGTAACGTGAATCACCAGAGGACCTGATGATCAACACTTCCCTTAACTGGACACCAGACTTTCAGTTCTTTTTTTTTTTTCTTTGAGACTGTCAACATCCTTACCACCCCCAACACACAAACCTCCCACTTCCAAGCTGATTCTGTTCTAGGGATGGAGCCCAGGGCCTGTGGGTGCTAGGCAAACACTTCTGAGCTGCATTCTAAAACCACTTTTTATTTTCTTAAAAGTGACTATTTTTCAGGGGTGGAGGATGCTGGGTTTAAACTCAGGGCCTTATACCTACCAAGTACAAGCTCTATACTTACCTACCTGTGTACTCCAGACCTACCTGTTTGTGATTTTAGAGCCAGCTCTTCATACTGTTTGGGGGAAAAAAAATGTCAGGAGGGAAGGTGTTGTAGGTAGTGTTTAGTATTTTCAATGTTCAATGATCAAGATTTTCAATGTTCAAGATCCTAGCACCTTCCCAATTTTTTTTTCTATAAAATAACGTGAAGCAACTACAACTGGTGCATATCATGGCTACAGCCAGATGTCCACAGCACAGGCCTTTAATTCCTGTAGCTCAAGGTCATTACCCACTAATCTAGTGATCATCTTTACTTGTTCAAACATATCAGAACTTTTGTCTTCACCAACCTTCCAAGCACACTTCAAAGAAAGGCTTCTTAGTATCCAGATTTGAGAACTTAATTCTGTTCCTCTTCCTTAGTTTCAAAGTTGTTACTGTGTTATCTTGGTTAAGGGAAGCATGACTTGTTTTTGTTTTTTTTTTTGGGTCCTGTCCTGGGGCCTGATCTCTGGGCCTGGGCAATGTCTCTCAGCTCTTCAGCTCAAGGCTAGCACTCTACCACTTGAGCCACAGCGCCACTTCCAGCTTTTTTTCTTTTTGCTTATGTGGTGCTGAGGAATCAAACCCAGGGCCTCAGGCATGCAAAGCAAGCATTCTACCACTGAGCCACCTTCCCAGCCCCGGAAGCATGACTTTTAAAAGCTGAGGACTAGGAATTTGTCTCCTGGCAGATTTATCGAACACCTTAGAATTCAGGATATTTTTCTTGGCAAGATGATGGCTACTACTGGAGTTTGCTAGATAGGTGCTCTACCCTTTGAGCTAAGACCACGTTCCTTTTTGCTTTAGTTACTTCTCAGGTAAAGCCTCATGTTTTGCGCTGGCCTTGGACAGAGATCCTAGTTAACCTTCCTGCCTTCTTCACAACTGGGATGGCAGATGTGCCATCACACTCAGCCTATTGGTTGAGATTGGGTCTTCCTGAATACCACTGTGAGCCACTGTACCCAGCATTCCACCCCCCACACCTTCTCCATTTTGTTTCACTGTGTTGCCCAGGTTCCAATTCCTGCACTGTAGCTGAGACTGCAGGCATGTATTACAGTGCTAGTCTAAAATTCTTTTTTATTTGGAAGAGAAGTGCAAGGGTTGTATTCAGGGCATTGCACATACTAGGTAGATGGTCTTATCACTTGACTCTCACCTCCAGCCCAGAGAATTACTGGTAATTTTTATGCTGTTTATAAAAAGGAATATGGGCACCCATGGCCTCAGTCATACAATCCTAGCTACTCTGTAGAGGCTGAGATCCAGCCTTTGTCATATAGACAAATCTGAGAGGTTCTTTATCTCCAATTAACTATTCAAACAATGGGAAGCTCAAGTGGTAGAGAACCAGCTGGGAATGGAAAAGGCTGAAGAAGAGCTAGAAGCCCTGATTGCTCTAGCTCCAGTTGTGGCTCAAAGAAAAATTGCATCAAGTTTTACCATATTTTAGATATACATATGTTGTGTTTTTCTTAGAATAGCCTCTCTTTCCCCAACCCCACAGAAGAAACCTCAAGACAAAAAGAAGGAATAAGCTGGGTGCTGGTGGCTCACGCCTGTAATCCTAACTACTCAGGAGGCTGAGATCTGAGGATCATGGTTCAAAGCCAGCCCCGGCAGGGAAGTCCATGACACACTTATCTCCAATAAACCACTCAGAAAACCAGAAGTGGAGCTGTAGCTCAAGTGGTAGAGCACTTGCCTTGAGCTGAAGAGCTGAAGGACAGTGCCAAGTCCAGAGTTCAAGCCCCATGACTGACCAAAAAAAAAAAAAGGAATAAGGGCTGGGAAGGTGGCTCAGTGGTAGAGCGCTTGCCTTGCATGCATGAGCCCCTGGGTTCGATTCCTCAGCACCACATAAGCAAAAAGAAAAAGCCGGAAGTGGCGCTGTGGCTCAAGTGGTAGAGTGCTAGCCTTGAGCTGAAGAGCTGAGGGACAGCGCCCAGGCCCTGAGTTCAGGCCCCACGACTGGACCCAAAAAAAAAAAAAAAGGAATAAAATCAAGGCATGAACTTCCAAAGTAGAGAACTGACAGGTATAATAGTACACTCCTTATAAACACAACTACTCAGGAAGCCAAGGAAGCATTGTGAGATTGAAGTCAGTTGGGATACATGACAGAGACCCTGTCTCAAAAAAAAAAGCTGGGTGCTGGTGGCTCATGCCTGTAATCCTAGCTA